AATCTCTTTGTGAGTGCAAGATATTTCATTCCAGGGTGTCTCATGGCCAGGTTGGCAATCTCCCCTTGCCTTCCCCTCCTCATAGAGGTGTGAATCAATAACTGGGCCTCCTTAGCGCATACGCATAGTACTTGTAAGGAGGAAGACCCGGTCGCTTCACATATGGTAGCCCTGGTGGCTGTGGCCTAAAGGGCAAGACCCGAAATCCACCCAGGCCATCGCTCCCTTCCTTCCCAGTGGCCGACAAGAGATGCTTACAGTGAAAATGCAGTTACCTTGGTCTTGTCTCAATCTCCATTATAAATTAAGTGTTAAGTTAAAGACTAAAAACAAAGGTTCTGCATCCTTTTCTGCAGCTTACCAGCATTATCTGCAGCCCCTCCAAACATTCCTGATACACAAGACATTTGGTTCCAGCATTGCCATACAGCTGGTTCCCCATTTATTACACAGCCTCTGAAAAAGTATTCCTCATTATCAGTCACAAATCTGTCATCTTTAAAGGGCATTACATGCTCCCATATTTTTGTGCAGCAGAAAACTAAAAATCCTTGCTCTTGCTTCCTGGGCTGGAACTGATGCAGAGAAACCAGGAGGACTGGGACCCAGCAGAAGCAAGCATTTCAGAAACTGAAACCTATAGTGTATGAAACACTAGGTATCTCTGTGGCACTATCTTAATAATGATAATAAACTGCTCCTGAGAGCTCCAGCAAAAAATACCGTAAACATAGCATTAAGCACATATTTTCTAAAGTGGTCATCATTTGCAGAGGTTATTAATGTTTATCAGTGGAAGGGCTAAAATTTTCCCTCTCCTTTACTTCAAAGTGAAATGCTCTAAATGGGGTAAAAGCTATTTTATAAAACAAGAATTCTTCTGGATGCTATTAAGTGAGGGCAACCAGGATGATTAAGGGAATGGAACATCTCTCGTATGAAGAGAGGCTGAGTGAGCTGGGCCTGTTTCTCTGGAGAAGAGACGGCTCRGAGGGGATATGATTAATATGTATAAGTTCAGGAAGGGAGAATGCAGGGAGGAAGGGGACAAGCTGTTCTCACTGGTGGCCAGCGATAGGACGAGGGGTAATGGCCACAAGCTGAARCACAAGAAGTTCCGTCTCCAGGTGAGGAGCAACTTCTTTACTGTTAGGGTGACAGAKCAGTGGAASAGGCTGCCCAGGGAGGTTGTGGAGTCTCCTACTCTGGAGGTCTTCAAAACCCGCCTGGATGCCACCCTGTGCCACATGCTGTAGGTGTGCCTGCTTGAGCAGGAAGGTTGGACTAGATGATCTGTAGAGGTCCCTTCCAACCTTAAATATTCTGTGAATCTGTGAATCTGTGACTTGGAGAAGATGCTGAGAATAGGTAATAGTAAATTTATCCTCCCTTCTACCATCAAATCTCAGTCCCAACCCATCACTTCTTAGAGAAAAAAGCATCTCCACTGCAGGAATCAGCAGGAAAGACATTTTAGACATGTTTAGTGCCAAGACAGGTCTTTTGTCCTAGCATGAAAGAATGCAGTTATAAGAGGTCTTTTACAGGCCTTATTTAATTTATCTCCTTCAACTCACTGAAACATGCATGCTCCTGTTTAGGGAGGGTGCAAGGCTCATTAAGTCCAGATGTGTTCTGAAGGCCTCTTTCTTCAGCCCAAACTGTTCAGAAAATGTGAACTCCTGCTTACTGGAAACACCGACGTTGGGCTGGGTGCAGTGAAAACCCAAGGATTGTCCCTTGCACGTTAGGAGCGCGGCAGCGCCATGAGGCTGTGGAACAAGCACAGTTCTCTCGTCCACCTTCATCAGCCTTGCACAGGGCTTAGGCAAAGCCTAACAAATGGTTTGTTTTAATTTGTGCTTCTCTGGTCGAAATTATGTCTGTAACTCTCAGCTGATGCATGCTCAACTCACTGCTTAAAATGCCTGCAGCTATTGTTCCTTTCCACCTTCTCTCAGATCTCCCACCCCTTGGTTCAGTTGCTTTCCTGGAGAAGCAATCTGGAGGTCGAAACGCAGGGATTTCTGCCCACTTTTTCAGCAGGTGCCAGCCCAAGTAATTATTTTGCACGTGCTCAAGACAAACAGGTACAACAAATGCCCTGATGGAGAAAATGCAAATGCTTCAAGATTCAAGTAAATTCCCCGGGGGATGTAAAAAACTCCCTGAGCACTCAAACCCCATAAGCTACTTCAGCATTTCTGCAGATGCTTCTGTAGGAGTATTTCAACTCTCTTGATTATATCGTCATACAGAGCCATTTCTGCTTGATGGAAAAACAACAGTAACAACAACACAACAAAAAMCACGCTATTTTTAGAGCTGATTTTATTATAATCAAGGGTCAGCCTCTTACCTGAAAATCTGGAGTTGTTAATCTCAGATTCTCCTCTCTGGGAGTTGTCACAACTCACCTCCATCAGCCTTGGGGATTCAATGGGAGAATAAGACTTTTGTCCCACAGCTATAGGGATATCCAACAGCTATGACTGCTTCCCCAGATGATTYCTCCCTAGCTACAAAGCAGCAAACAAAAAGGCAACTCCTCTCTCCCTAGAGCTAAGGGTCAAAACCAAGGTATATGTGGGGAATTTTAGTCTAATAAGGGTAAGATTCAAAAGATAAATGCTCCATTTCAGAGATTGCTAAAACTATAAAGATTTTTATTGATAGTTTACCCAGCTATGGAACAAGAGAAGTGGTAAGAAACTTCAGCCACAGAAACTGAAGTCATTTGCGTGGTGATAGCTTTCATGGAACTATTTGCTAGTTGATTCCTCACCACACTATTTTCAAAATTCAAGCTCATATTAAYAAAGGAGCAGGCACCTTCAGGGGGATACTCTGTGCCCTCATGTCTTCCTAAAGCAGCCCTGGAGTATCTCCCAAAGTCTAGGGAAGTCATTTAAGAAAAAGATTCCCCTAAAGCAAACAGTACCTAACTCACCTGGCAGAATGTCTACAGCTAAGCTTAACAACTACTTCTAAACTACTCTTTCTAAAGCAAGAAAAGGCTCATTAAGCTTGTGGGCATTTGGAGGATGCCTTGTCTCAAGCACAGCAGTGATACAGTTCCATACGTCAACTCCRAATTAATCTACCCTTATCCCAAGGGCAAGAGAATCATGCGATATGCTGAGCAGTGTGGGTACAGCGTGGATGGCCACAAGAAATGCCTTAAAGCTGCTTTCCTAGTACTGTCCTTCCCGACAATGACAAAGGAGGGAAACATCCGTGATGCAAAGGCACCCCAGGAGTGTGAGGTGTCAAAGGAGCCAAGAACATATCAGGAGCCTCAGTATATTAGCCCATGCCACCCAGCAGTGGGAAAAGCATGCCAAGGCTGAAATGAGCTGTATTGCAGTTCTGGCTTGTGTTGTCATTAAAGTAACATTTTCCCTTCCTTCTAAGGGAGGGCAGCAAAGTGTATTATTTTCATGGTGGCTAGTTCACCTCTTGCAGATTGTTCTTTTTCAAGACATGTTCAGAATTCTTGTTTCAGCCTAGAAACCTTTCAATTTCTCTAAATGCAGCCACCTTGCTTTGAATTGGCATCTCTACTTTCTTCCTTCTTTTTTTTTTTTTTTTTAATAAGCAGTAAGAACCATTTCATCTTCAGCTCATCATGGAAGAGATATCCCATTTATCTGTGTGTCATTTCAAAAAGCTTCTTCCCAAGGCAGTCCGCATTGAGCACCATTGCCTAAAACGGAGACTTCTAGCACTATTGTAGGTGCCAGACTCCCAGGTGCTGCAACAGAAGGCTGCAAATCCCAACACCCTGGCTCATCTGTGCCAGGACATATGGACGTGTCATCCCTGAGGCAGCTGATGTGGCACAAGACCCCGATAACCAGGCATCTGATTCATTCCCTTCACAGGGCAGGAAGGCAGCCAACATGATCTACCACTCTTTCCCATTCCTGGAACATTTTTCCCCCGCGTAGAAAATATCCCACATCCACTGATCTAACAGGCATTTTCCTCTCAGGTGCCCAAAAGAAGTTTTGGAATGTCCTCACGCAATTCCAAGTCTGTCATCTGGTCATTTATCATAAAACATGGCCAACATGAACATTGATATTGAAGGTGGGAGGAAAGGACCATGATTTGCAACCTGTGGTTATGCAAAGAGAACCACAAAAGGAAATTGCTGAGAAATAACATTACAAAATGCACGTGCATTTGATTCCTAAGTGTATAAAGAGCAAATGTGGGTGAAAATGTAACATAAAGCGAAAGGATTAGGCAGAAAGCTTAGTGAATATTTCCCTGCAATAGCTGTTAAAATCTCTGATGCGGAGGCAGAAATCTCCAGCAAACAACTTGTCAAGGAGACTTCAGTCAGTCAGCTGCATAAAGCGAGGAGGCTTGCTGGTAGAATTAGGCATGAATGCAGTCTTTGCACATTTATAGCCTTCCTTGTATTAACCCTTAGTTAGACTGGAGCTTTCCAGAGCAATTGATAGTGCTTCAAACCCAAATTGCCCCCAAATTCTGAAGCTTTCAGAAAGCAAAGATCTTTTTAAGAACCAAAGCCAGATAAGAAAGAGGCAGGCATGTGGAATCAACAAATACTTTTTAAAAACTCAGCTTAAATCTTTCTTTAAAACATTACATACATATAGACATTACTGTTTCTAGCAAATGAAATAAAAAGCAAACAGTAGCAATTACTCCATTTGTAGTCCAGTTTGATTGATTCAACTGCATACAGAAACCAAAACACACTGACTCATCCWTAGACAATTTTAAGACTATTGGGCAGCAGAATTAAAAGGAAGGTGCCCCTCACTATACATACTGTCTTTCAAGCATTAATGACAAAATTTATATTTATGCCAAGTATTCATATGAATAGACTCCTTACAGCTTTAACAAGCAAAAACAAGAACAAAAGAACATTTATTTTATATTGTTAGGACTATTGCAAAGCATTAGGTTTATGCTACCATTTCTGAACTCTCCATTTCATTTTCACCCAGCCCTTTATTTACCTTGAATCCCCAAAGGACTAATACTGCCTCTCAATGCTGGCACATGATGGTACCGGTGTGGCCTTGAACTCCTGTACATCCAGTGGTACCTGCCAATTTCCATTTCTGGTCTGGTGATAACTGCCAATTTTAGGTGGTAAAAAGTCAGTGTCACCAGCAAAATTTTTTAGTTCAGTACTTTTAATCATTTAACTTTAAAAAATAAGAGCCCAGAAAAAGAATATGCTTAAGCCTCATAGCTGAAACAACATAATTACTAACCCAAGAGAGGAAGAAAAAAAAAAAGAATAAGAAATAGCAACTGATAGGGTAATGCTGGTACAGCTATTAAGAAAGGCTGAATACTTAAAGCTCTATGGAGGCTTTGAGTTAAACCCATAGGAAAGGACTAGAGTTACAGCTGCTGTTCATTCCCTCTTCCTTTCCCCCACCCACTCTCACTTCTTCCTCTCTTCATTCACAGCAAGGAGTTCCGCTCTGGAAATTTAAGAAGATAAAATTGTGGAAAACAAATAGCTTTCTTTTTTTTTTAAAAAAAAATAACCTAAATATTACAAAGAAAATTATTGTTATCAAATGTAGAGATAACTTCACCACACAAGTTCCCTCTGTTAGTTTCTTATATATATATAAACACAAAAACAAAAAATGTAGGCTTATTTTATATAAGCTCTGTTCATTTACAAGAATCTGGACCAAATGTGTTAAACTTGATTGATTCCAGGCTTAAAATGAATGAGTAGTTATCTTTTTTCTCCTTATCCTTTCAAAGTACAGATAGAGTTCAGTAGCGATATATCATGCACAAAATACATTCTGATCTGCAAATTCATCAGCAGGGAACTTCAAAGCTTAAATGCTCCTGAGCTCTGTGAAAGAAGCCATTGGCAAAACAACATCAACTCTCTCCTGAATCAACATTTTCCCCCCTCGGCGCTGCTGTGGAATTGTCAGGCTGTCATGGCAAGATAGATCATTATTTAAAAGGCATTGAGTCCCACTCCGCAGCAGCTAAATGAAAAAGGAACTGTCATCTCTGGCCAAAACAAATTTGACTTGGCGGCATTTTGGCAGGTGGATGAAGTGAAGGTTATGATGCTAAAATAGCATTTTTTTTTTTTTTTGGTAAACTACATCTGCAACAAGTWCCTGGGCTTGGAAGGGAGAGGAAGTAGGAGTGCCATAAATTTTTACTCTGCCAGAAGCTAGGAGGTTCCTGGACCTGTTCCTTCTCTCATGTTTTTCTGCTGCTGCAATAGCAAGTTCAGTACAGTAAGTTTATATAGGTCGGAAAGGAAGAATCTTGGCCTCAAGTCCAAATATTGGATCTGGTAGTGTGAAACAAGAAATTGTTCAGCTCCTACACTGGTGAATGAATACCAATATTAAAACAATCCATTGGAATCATACGAACTGAAGAGCAATGGTTCTTCAAAAGGATACTTTGTGACTTGGTATTTTTCCCCTCTTTGCAGTTCATGCATAAATCATCAAGCAGGCACTACGCAGTTCATTTTTTTCCTAAAATAAATTTTTCTGCTTTGTATGACTTTCACTTCTTTCTTTAAGAGAGGGCAAATTCGCCATCTTGCAAATGCAGCCAAATTCAAAGTGTTCAGAAGGTACGATTCCAAAATGACTATGCAAGCTTAATAAAACTTCCAGCCTGATTTCATCTCCTTTTGTGAACAAGCCTGCTTATGAGATCACAAAAATCACTATAATAATTGAATTTGTTACAAAATGGAAGATAACAGAATTGCTGGCTGGCATCACATGTTACTTCTCCGCCTCCTCCCAGCCCTGATTCAAAAAAATAAAAAAAAMMCAGTTATATAAAAATTCTAGACAAGGAAAGAAATTCTCCATTGGTATTGCAGCAGCAAAGTGACAAAGCCCTCGTCATATGCTGCCAAATGGATTTTATCCTGCTCTGCCTGAACCTCCAATTCAAGATTTGTCCTGCAGCAGCTCTGTGACCCCTGGCTCACAGCAGAGTGGGGAGCTGCCTTTCTTCCTTAGCCCATGGGAGATGCTGGTGAAATCACTGCCCGCTGTGGCGCAAACATCAAATCCCGAAAAAAAGAGTTAGCATGAAAACTCTGTAGTATCATCTCTGTAAATGAAATGATTCTGTGAAGTTTGTCTAATTATCCATTTCTGGATTTGCAAAAACAGAACATCTTTCATTAAAAGATGATTCAGATTCCTTAAGGAATCTCACATTTTTTCCATTTCTTTGCAACGAAGTACTTAGTAGTTGGCTGTTTTACAGATTTTCTGAATTCTGAAAGGAGCTCTGAAGTCAAAGAAGATCTTTTTGCTSAATTAATTGGGTCCTATTGAGATCCTGAGAGGTCCACTCACTCAAAAATGACAGTCAGGTCAGATCCCCACAAGTTTCAGAAGCAGTAACAACCACTGCACACCTTATGGAGCAATTAGATTTTTGACTCCATACCCTAAATGTTTACAGAATGGGACATAGCTTTATGTTTTGCTTTTACTTTTCAAGGGACTGACTGTACAAATTGCACTTAGAGGTCTAGTTTAAGATATTCTTCATGTACGGACAAGCCCAGAAGCCTGTATCAATCCTTTCTGGATGCCACACTSCTGAACCAGGTTGAACTTGATGCTGTAGAGACACAAGAGCTACAAGATGACAATGTTTTTATGTCACGCAACACAAGCACGTTGATGGCAATTGTGATGCTCAATATTCATTGTGGATGAATCATCTTGGAAGCCTGCAATAAACGGCCCTGCATCCAACACCCTCCCTTCTCTTGCTGTCTTCGGAACACGGTGTTAGAGGAAACAAACTGTTATGACTTTCATCTGTCACAGCTGATGAAGGAGCTCCTGGAAGCAGGGCAAGGGTTATCATTTGGGCATTTATGATCTGATAATCTGTTGGTAAATACTATGCAATGAGCAAGGCTGGACTGATAATAGGGAAAGATCACTGTAACCCACTGAGGCTTCCCTGCTCCCAAAGCCCTCTTCTCTCTTCCCTCTTCCAGCTTTCCCCTCTTTAAATACGTTGCTCCTCTCTCCCACCGCCATCGTCTGCTGTGCATATCCAGGACCATCTGGGGTTTTTTCCCCTGTGGCACATATGTCTGGGTTTTCTGCTTTCATGCAGTCATTTAGGCAAGTATGAGCACGGTCTCTAAGAGCTCCCCCCACATTTAGAAACTAAATCCTATTCATTAAAAGCTAAATCACTAAAGCCTGCCAAATTATTATCCCTGGAATATAGCGTGTCCCAGATTCTTCCTGGGCYGGACCTCTAACATCCTTTTCCTAGAGCTATATTCTTCAGGCACGTAAAGCTGTATTACTTTCAGGAGAGCTAAAATACCAACAAATTGTTTGAAGCAAGGGAAAAAACAATAGGCAGCATATTAAAAAACATCCTTAAGCAGCTTGACAGCTCTGGAATCACTGTGGGAGCCTAACAGTAGGGGACCATATTAAAAAAAAAAATAAAAAAAAAAGCAAATAAGCATAATATGCAAGTAAGACAGCCTTTTCTTTCAGTCTGCTAAAATGAAAAGTACATCTCTAATGCATCAACATTTTCCTACATTCATTGCATAGAAGACCTTCACTTAGTGATGTTAATTGTAGCATGTCAATTTATTCCTCAGTTCACAGTTCAGCAACTTTTTTTACTATCTCACATAGTTTCAAGTTGTAGTTAAGAGAAGTATTTTCTTTCCATTTTTGACTAGTACCTACTTGCTTGCTTAGAGTTTAGAATTTGAAACATCTCTCCTCATATTATGAAAATAATAGTCAAAGCTCACAGCCATTTCCAAGCACAAAGTCCTCTTCCAACAAGGAGACATTCGTAGGGAACACTGAATCAAAATGAACTTTTAGTACTGCTGTTCAGGCTGGTTTTCGTTATTACCAAGTACGTCCTAGTACTACAGCCTTCTTCCATGTTTCTTTGACCATTCCTATGGTCATCTATGCTATTATTTTTTTTTTAATTTTCTAACTTGGTAATATTTCTCTTAGTTAAATGGAAGGGGAAACTTCTTGTGCCTGTTAATGCACATCAGGATCCAGGCCCTTCATTGCTGATGCAAAACGGCATTTCGTTTTTCTCATTTGTTCCACCTCAGCAGATCTGCCGACCCAGACCTCACGTTTTGATTTAATTTAATGCCTCCAAGATAAACCCTGTCATTTGTAATAATTTGTAAACATTCATCTTTAAAATGCATCCAATCTGTCCTGCAGCCCTGTAAAGTATCTGCTAAACATTTTGCTTGAGCTGAGTTCATGGTGTTCTCCTCCGATAAGAGCTGCTGATACATTATATAAAGCTGACTTATTTCTTATCTCCATCAACATGGGTGTTGTTCAATTTCCAATTAAAAAACTGGGGCAGCAGCCACGCATCTGGCTGCAGAGAAGCAAACGGCTGGAAAACACGAATCCGACAGCTGGGCGATATCGTTGTCTGAAACAGGCAAGGGAACTCGTGGGGTAAAAATTATTAAAATTGAAAAAAAAAAAAGTCACCTACAATTTAGTGAGCTTTAGAAATGAGATTAAGCAGTTTCATTTGTCAGTCAGTAAATATTCACGAAACAGAGCAGCTGGTGCAAATTGTCTCAGCTGCAGACCAAAACAGCAGCCTTCCACATATGCCACAGGTATAAGAGACACCAACCAGCACCACTGKGACCCCACTGTTTGCTTCTGATGGGCTAGTAGATGCTCTCACTCTCACTGCTCATCCTAACTAATGGCCAGGCTCTATGGAGCGCTCTCTAGTACTCTGCTTGGCGTATGAGGAGCTCTCCATAGAGTATACAGTCCCAAGAGAAATGTTCGGGGGCTCTTCTTTGTCCAGAACTGGTTTTAGGTTACCCAGCAAGTCAGAGGAGCTGGTAAAGCAATAAGCACATCCTCCCCAGCCCGCCTCTGACTTTGCTCAGTTGCATCTCCTTTGTGCAGGCAAGTCTTTTGGGAAGGAAGCGTTTAAAATACTTCAGGACAAATCCTAAGGTGCTTCATGCTGTCACAGTTGCCTTCCCATCAGCAGATCTGGGCCTGCTGAGCCTATCTGAAAACCTGACTGCTCTGTGAGCTCTG